CCGGGAAAAAGCAAAATGGTTCAGACTTCCAATTTGCTTTTTTCCGGGCCGGGAAAAAGCAAAATGGCTCAGACTTCCAATTTGCTTTTTCCCGGGCCTGGAAAAAGCAAAATGGCTCAGACTTCCAATTTGCAATGGTTCAGATTTCGAATTTGCAGATTCCCAACCCGAGAAAAAGCAAAATGGTTCAGACTTCCAAATTGCTTTATCCCGGGCCGGGAAAAAGCAAAACGGCCAGACTTCCAATTTGCTTTTTCCCGGCCCGGGAAAAAGCAAAATGGTTCAGACTTCGAGTTTGCTTTTTTCCAAACCGGGAAAAAGCAAAATTGTTCAGACTTCCATTTTGCTTTTTGCCGGGCCGGGAAAAAGCAAAATGTATCAGGCTTGCAGTTGGCCTGGAAACAAGCAGCGCCTGTGAGATTCGAGCCCGCAACCTTCTGCTTATGAGCCTGGCACCTTATCCATTAGGCCACAACTCCTTGATTTTCTTTGTAACCCTGATATAAACTGATTTTTCCCAATTTGACTCAGCTTTGAATTTGCTTTTTCCCGGCCTACACTTTCAATTTGCTTTTTTCCGGGCTGGGAAAAAGCAAAATGATCAAGACTTCCGGTTTTTTGGTTGCGCCCAACCCTCCATGAACAAAGAGACGGCTCAGCCAGGCCAGTTTGCTCAGACTTCCAATTTGCTTTTTCCTGGGCCGGGAAAAAGATTTGCTTTTTCCCGGGCTGGGAAAAAGCAAAATGGTCAAGACTTCCAACCAAGCCATTTTGATTGCCCAACCCTCCATGAACAAGAGACGGCTCAGTCAGGCCAGTTTGCTCAGACTTCCAATTTGCTTTTTTCAGGGCCGGGAAAAAGCAAAATGGTTCAGACTTCCAATTTGTTTTTTCCCAGGCCTGGAAAAAGCAAAGGCTCAGACGTCCAATTTGCTCGGCCCGGGAAAAAGCAAAATTGTTTCAGATTTCCAATTTGCTTTTTCCCAACCCGGGAAAAAGCAATCGGAAGAGCAATTGTTCTTGCAGCGTGGCCAGGTCACCAACATGACTTGCGCAGACCTTTCGCAGGACCTTCGCGAACCTTTCGCGACTGCAGTGAGAGCACACTCGAAATCAGCCTTTGAAATTCGATCACTAACAAGGAAGAGGTGGGTTTTTGAACGACGCTCATTTAGTGGCACGGGCAGGGGTAGGTAACAAAAGGACAGTCGATCTCGCTAACTTCTCTAAAATTTATATGTAAGCGACTCGCTTTGCTCATTCTTTAGTATTTGGTGGAAGATAGCCGATGATTAGTTTTCAGGAGCAGTTGTTTTGAACACGGACCTAAATAGTCACTAAAAGCTGCAATATGCACTTGCTGTGCAAACATCGTCATACTCTTTGGGGGGGCAGGGGATGTAAGACTGTAGGTTTGGTCGATTGCTCATTTGCACTAGACGGCTTGCACGTTTTCTTGCGATGGCCAGTGGTAAAGCCTTAGAACGCCCAGCATGTTAGCCTTTCCCTTCCTTCTTGCCCTCACTGCAGCACACTTGCCCCCTGTAGAGCAGGATGCAGTTTTCAAAAAAGTCACGAACCGCATGCGCAAACAAACCGAGGCCCAAAGGCTGCTCCCAACAAAGAAAAGGCACCAGTTGCTCAGGTCACCTTGAATAACTCTTTGTACATCAATGCTTTAAACACAGCCCATGCTCCAGTTGTGCTGGAAGAATGTAGATTGGGACGCAAAATAGGTTGGCCCCTGTGATCGCAAATGGTGAATGCATCAAAGTGGGTCTTCTACACATGGAAATGCATGGCAACCAGCTGAGCATGTTAGCGTTGTCCAAAGGTGTCTACCTACCTGTGCAGTGTTTAACAAGTACAGCAAGCAAATCCAATCAAACCGAATCTTGTTAACTGTAAAGCGCTAGGTCTTCGCCTTTCACCCTGCTTACACCAACTCATGCTTGTCAAATCAAGTCCTCGACCAATCTCCATTGGGGTGGCTCATCTCCACCTGCCATGTCGCGGGTCAACGATCTCAGCCGTGGTTGATGGCGGGAGCAAGCAAACAGCTATATAAAAGCTTTAAGTCTAGTCATTGCACAGTCAATTGCAAACACCATTTTCCAATGCATCCAACAGCAACACAGGTTGTCAACCAAATGGCTCAGATTGCCTGAGCCTTTTAAGGCCAAAGCTAATTGAGCCCTTTAAGACTACCCTGATAAACTTTAGATCTTTGAGGCCAGAACGATTTGTGAGCCTTTAGATTCCTTTGAATGAAGGGCAACTGGTGTTGGAACCTCCTCAAGTCAAAGGCTTGTGGTCCAATAGAGTCAACAGAGTGTGAGCCTTTTCCCGCAGCTGATTGGCTTTGAAGGCTTGCTGTGTATCCACCTGACCGGGGTGGCCTAGGTCAGCCTTCCCCATTGGTTCTGTTGAGGGTTCTGCACAACGCTCTTGGATCCTCAAAAGAGTGCATTATGCTTTACCCTTCAAGGCTCTGTCGACTAACGCCTTCCATCAGGCCGCTTCTTCACGTCTATCTCAAACTGCTGCGAGTTGCCGGCTGCAATCTTACATACAACCTAATTGCGATGGCCTCCAACCTAATACTGTACATCATATCACACAAAAGGAATTGCAATGAACACAACCTTAGTCGAAGCACTGCATAGCAAAGCTATCTGTTGTTGTGTGTGATGTTCTGCAATACTTGGTCCCCTACTTCAGTGAGCCTGATCGACATGCACCGCACGTAGTAGTTGTGAACGCCGGAACTTTAAGTGCCGCGTACAACATGGTGCGACAAACTAACAATGAAAATCAAGGCGAGGGCCGTAAGGGCTCCTTCTTGTTCCCCTCTTGTGCAACAAACTGATTCCGGACCTTCAAGTCGATTGTCAAGTTCTTCTCAAGATCTTAGCCACCGAACGGCTGCTTGCTACTTTTAGATCTCTTAAGGAACAGGACAGTAGTATCCTACAGTACTCTGCTTGAAAGTATCTTCAATAGCCGCCCTTCAATCCCCGCTCGTTCGAGAAGGTAGACCGTCCAATGCAACCTTTGCTGTGCCAAATCCAGTACTTGAACTTGTGACTTGACAACGGAGAAACAAACATAAGGATGAGGAATCAGTCCTCAAGCAGGTTTTGGGTAGGTTGAAGGCCCGCTATTGGGTTGAAGGAAGGCCATCGCTACGTTCGTCTTCTCTGGTTCTCCATAGCTTGAAATTCACAGTTATCACCACATGCCTGACAGTTTTGCAAATTGCGCAGCTGAGGTCAGTTGACTCAGTTGATGTGTTGCAAAGCGTAAGCCTGAAGTAGGCCGATTAACACACCTAGAATGCCGCCCACGAGCAAAAGGATCCACTCGTCATCTTCAAATATGGGATGAACAATGCTTTCAAATTCAGGTGGGGGAATACGTTGTAAACGCCACGTAAGTGTCTCTTGCACATTCATGGCCGTGTCCATGTATTCTTCAATTGCCCGAGAATGCTGTGGAAGGAGCTCAAGCGAAAACTGTTCAACGTCTTGCTTGAGCTCATCCATGCGTGTTTCAACTGTTGGCGCAACCACTGCGACGCGGCTGGCAAAGCCCATGCTGCGCTCAACAGATCTGTCAACATGTTTCCGGTAGATTTGAAGCACCTTCTCAACTCCTGTTGAGCTGGGAGCTTTCATCATGTAATGAAGCATGGCCCGGGCATCCACCACATTTTGGCAGATGAGCTCCGCCATCTTTTGCGAGGCTTCCCTTTGCCGTTTCATGAAGACCCCCTGCACATTGATCCTGCCACCACAGTACTGATGGGGCCAAACAGGGCGAAAAATCATCTTGATGGCAATCCAATTTGTAAAGTAGCCAATGATAAGTCCACTGACCGGAAGCATGACATAGTCCACACCCTGGACCTTCTGCAACATCAAGTACAAAACCACTTGCACCAAGCCCAGCAGAAAACCCATCACAGCAGCAATCCGCTGGATAAAGGTTAACTCGTTCAAAGCAACTGACCGGAACATCTCCACCATCATCCGGGGATTGTTGACAAAGGTGTCCACAGACATCTGTTGCAAATCCAGGATCGAACTAATGTTGTTACGAAGCTCCAACATCCCCGCCCCAAAGCTTTCCTTGGTGTCCTCCAACACCTTCTTCTTCAGCTCGGACTGCACAGACTCAGGCAGGATTTGCCACACAGTTGGCAAATGCTTCAACATTATCTTCTCCAGAACTTGAAAACAAAGTCCACCCATCATTTCTTCCAGGGTGTCAAAGAAGTGCTGAGGTTCAATTCTATCCATGAACTCCTCTACTGTGACAATGTTACCAATCCTGAGGCCAAGGCTCACTGTACAGCATGCTCACATGAATAGAGTGGACTGGACATCTGTGGACTTTAGGAAGCTGTGTCATGTTACATTGTGTAGCCTCCACCCTAATAGCCATGGCCTCCAACCTTCCAGCGATGGCCTTCACCCTAATAGCAGTGGCCTCCACCCTAGAAGCGATGGCCTCCACCGTAGAAGCGATGGCCTCCACCCCAATAGCGATGGCCTCCACCCTACTAGCAATGGCCTCCACCCTACTAGCGATGGCCTCCAACATAGAAGCGATGGCCTCCACCCTAAGAGCGATATAGAGCGATGGCCTCCAACCTTCCAGCGATGGCCTTCACCTAATAGCCATGGCCTCCACCCTACCAGCGATGGCCTCCAACCAAATAGCAATGGCCTCCAACCTACCAGCAATGGCCTCCACCCTAAGAGCGATGTCCTCCAACCTACCCGCCATGGCCTCCACCCTAGAAGCGATGGCATCCACCCTAATAGCGATGGCCTCCAACCTACCAGTGATCGCCTCCAGCCTCGCCCTTTCTTTTGCTTTACACCCTAGACCTGTTTTCAATTCAACGGCTCTCCAACTTTACGTCATATTCAACTGTCTGCAGCCAAGATGCATGCGATCACACGCCCGCCTGGCCATGACTTCAGCCTTTCGTGGCACAATGCCCTGCCAACCATTGATGGGCAACCCAAACCAGCTGGGCACAATGGGCCGCGAGGGGCATCCAACAAATTCAATCGGAAAGAACATCATCTGCAAAGCCAGCCACACATGAAACCAAGTGAAAAGGAGGCATACCAGTGGGACTGACAAGAGCTTCGCCAACGGGATCAGCTCACGCGGTATCCCAATTGAGTTCACCTTGGTCGATGGGTTTCCTGCCAGATTCACCCACGCAATGCCGATCCACAATGCTGTACCCAAAAAAACCACCCAAATGAAAGCCACGAAGGCATAGCGCCGACAGAACTCCACGATCGGGGGGTATACGGTGCGTGCGGGAGGCTCATAGCCTTGGCAGCATTGAAGCGAACTGTCGACATGTAGGATTCCTAATTGCAATGGCCTCCAACCTCATAACGACCTGTCGACATCCACTTGGCATGAGATCTGGAAATTGTCTAATGGGAAACCTGCGCCAACCTTGTTTGACTGCACTTACTTATTGTCTCATGACATAGTTCAACAGTGTTCAAACATCATGTACTAGCTTCTTGTTACTACTAGTAAGGCACTTGTTACTAGAAGCGATGCACTTGTTACTAATAGCTTCTTGTTACTACTAGATTGAAAACATCAAGATTGAGGTCTGGACTGAACCGCTCAGCTCTGGAATGTTGGCCCTGTGGCGTAAGCTGCACACGCAAAGATCTGGCGTCGCTCGCATTCATGGCAAGGTCCGAAAACCTAGATTTGCCTTGCTTTGCGTTTTGTTTTTGATTGAGGCAAATCAATTTTCTTGGTCTTACTATGGTAAAGCACGCTGCCGGTCAGCTTCTGAATATGCGGCACGACCTAAACCATCACGTGTTCTGAATTATGAATCCTACACTTGGGCTGTGTCAGAACTGAAGGCCACGATGCTCGGAGCAATGCAATCATAGCGCACATGCAAATCACAAGGGGCCGCTCTGCTGCACAAAATAATCAGCAAACTTGGACGCGCGACCCGCCCTCAAAAGGCAACTGCGCATCAACTCAAACACACAAAATCACACACAATGCCTGCGTTCATGTTGCTTCCTGTTTATGTGGATGTGTTTAGGTGTGGCGGTTTGTCGGGGAAAGGTAGTATACTCAATAGACCCCACCCAGCTTGGATTTAAAGACTGTACGATCTGGGTGGAGAGCGAGGTACAAGGACCTCTCAGAGAGAAGGAGAGACGGAGGTAGGGAGGGAAGGTGAAAGGGTGACTACCACGTACATGTGGTGGCATAGGGCAAGCAGTGTTTTTACTGCTAAAATGGATTGCGAGTGGGCACATGTTTAGTACCAAGATTGGAGTGTCATACCTTGACTGCTAACAAGAATGCTTTCTGCACTATCCTGCTGCTTTCATCCGCAAGCACCTTGAGTGTGCCAATACAGTCCCAACACAAAAGCATGGCGTTTCATCTCTGAGCGTGGCTGTGACCTTTTCTTCACTTCAGTGGGCAGTGTCAAGCAGTGCCTTCCCAAAGGATGAGGCCAACATCACAGTTTCCGAGAATTCTTCCCACACAACCAATGGGCATTTGCCACTTATATAAACAAGCCAAAAATAAGACCCATGATGTGTTGAGAACTTGATTCGCGTCACAAGCATTGTTGGTCGTGAAAGGCCTTGCAACTTGTAGCATCCGTTTTGCTACACGGCCGAGACAAGTACAGTAACTCATCTCCATCGGTGAAGCAAAAGCCTTTTTTTTGACGGCCAGTTCCAGTTCATGCTGGTTCGAGGTGTTTAGAGTCCGTCTAGAACACCGGGTCGCATGAAGGCATCAGGGGGTGATAAGTGGCCTTGCTTACACCAAGCTCCCTTGAAACTCTGCAACAAGGGGCGCTCAAAAAGGTCGCCAGCTCACAAATGCTCACAATATGTCACGAAGCTGGCCTTAGAAACATGGAAATCAACATTTCTACGCGATACAAGCTGAACATTTCAACAGTCAAGAAGGTCCCGGCCGCATCCAAGTTCCTGCAATCGAACCCATGCCTGGCTCTGTCGTCAAAGAATCTCCCTTGGTTCTAGCACATGGCAATTGATGCTGCGTGTGCCCTGCAAGCTTGGGATGGCTCTCCAGCAGCGCATGTGAGCCAGTGTCGCACCGTGTCGCACCTCCTTGAAATCCTCGAAGAAAGCGTTCTGATCGTTGGCATACTGGACAGCCTGTGTCGGCGAGGCCAGGTGGAAAGGCTTCAGGCGAGCTCTCTCTCTCTCTCTGGAAGTTTCTCTATTCGAGCTCGGCTTACTAGCGATCGCCTAACTAGCGGTGGCCGTGAAGTATGAAACAATTGGCCGTGATTTGCTGGGAAGGTTTCAATCACCTCTTTTTGTTGCTCCGTCTCTGGCCAGCAATCGCAAATGCACCATTGCAACAGCCTGGAACTCCCGCACCAAATGAGTATATGCTGAGTGTTGCACGTACTCTTTGAACTTGGGATCTTCAATCAAGCACATGTCCTCAGTGCAGTGCCACTAAGTCTTCAAAAAGAAACCACCAATATTTGCCAAGCACACTGGTCAGCCGCACCAGCACTGTCAAAACCTATTCCCTAAAACACAGGATGCTCTAAGTAAATGCCGGGCATAAAACCGTGCTTGCCCAAGAAGTTGTTTCCTTAAAGTCTTTTATGCATCATACTTCATATTATATGATGAACTTGGTCCCGCACGGTGGTAAGCATCATTGTCTTTCCGCTCCTGCAGCATGCATGCTGGCGCATGCTGACATGTACTGTGATGCGATGTGACAAGAATGTGAGTTCCATATCACCACGACCATGCCAGTCACGCTTTTTGGCCAAAAGCACCCTTAAAAACACAGCTTACCCCTTCATTCACGGACCTGTGGCAAATAGCGACGCGCGTGCCTGTATTGCTTGTTGCCAGACTTCACAGTTTCCATTGTCCACTTCTTGTTGAGCAGGTCCTTCACTTTAGCACAAGACTGACTGAACCAAGCAAACAGAAAAACAAAACAACACGGAAATTTGAACTCAGAGTTATCAGCCTTAGCATGGCTGCAGTCGAAATGCAAAGGAACTACCAATCCATGAGTCTAGCTGTTTAGCCTAAAGTGGCCCTTAGCCCTTACATTCCCGGCCGAACCGGACAAAGAAGAATCGATCCTTGAAGTAGGTGTTGTCGAACTTCAGCTTATCCTGAAAAAAAAGTGCAAAGTGGAGGCCATTGCTACTAGGTGGAGGCCATCGCTAGTAGGTTGGCGGCCATTGCTAGTAGGGTGAAGGCAATCGCTAGCTTTTTGGAGGCCATTGCTAGCAGGGTGAAGGTCGCCAGGAGGTTGGAGGCCATCGCTAGTCGGTTGAAAGCCATCTCTAGTAGGTTGGAGGCCATTGCTACCAGGTGGAGCTACTAGGTTGGAGGCCATCGCTAGTAGGTTGGCGGCCATTGCCAGTAGGGTGAAGGCAATCGCTAGCTTTTTGGAGGCCATTGCAAGTAGGGTGGAGGCCATCGATAGTAGGTTGGAGGCCATTGCCAGTAGGTTGGAGGCTATCGCTAGTAGAGTGGAG